AATATTTTTCACTTTTGTATAGTATCCTAACTACATAAAAGAGTGGGTTTTTTTATGCCACGCGTCGAATTTTGGTATCGTCCCCAAAACGACGTCGTCCCGCCCCCTTTTTTCTTTCCATTTGCTTTTCACACACACACTCTCTCTCTCTCTCTCCCTCCCTCATTTCTTCTCATTTTCTTTTCGCGCTCTGTCTCGTGAACCCTCGTCGGCTACAACATCAAGGAGGCAAGCAAGAACAAATTGATACTGTCACCGCCACCGCCGCCGGGAAGGTAAGTTTTGCTAACAACATTTACCGTCCTCGCGCACGGAGATACCGTCCGTGTCTCCGTTGCGAATGAAATTCTCGTCATTTTTCTACTTTTCTCCCTTTCTGTGTTTCTTATGGGCTTTCATTATAGTTGATTNGGGTATTTGGGGCTATTTCGTCATTTTTCTTTTTTTCTTCCTTTCTGTGTTTTTTAGGGGCTTTCATTATAGTTGATTTTTAGTTTATAACGTATATGGGATTATTTGTGTAAATGAAATTCTTGTCCTTTCCTATTCTTCGCCCTTTTCTGTTATTTTTCGTCATTGGAATTTTTTTTGTTTGTTAATTAGCTTCATGGTATTATTTGGAGTGATTTTTTGCTCGAGGAGAATAGTATAGACATAATGATGTTGAAACATTGGTTGTTATAGTAAAGGGAGAAGGTGGAAGAGCCTGATCTGCCGAAATACAGAGACCGAGCAAAAAAGAGGAGAGAGGATCAGAATCCGAATTGACATCTTTCCATGCTGTTGCTCCACCGGGAACTGTGGATCTTGGGTGAGATGCCAGTACTGTATCTTCATTTCACATTTTTGTTTTTTAAATTCTCTGTGCATTCTAATTTTGAATAATCAATGTATTTAATTGCTCTTTTGGACGATACTTATAGGTCCGCTGATGCTCACAAGCTATCTATAGAGAAGAGTAAATATCTTGGAGGTAAGTGGTTTGGGATTAATTATTTATTAGACATCTAATATAGAATGGGTGTACATGTACTGGGTCTTTCAAAATTCTCTGTGCACGGAGACACGAGAATTGTCTCCGTGCGCAACCCTCTTCTTCTGGACCTTCAAGTATGTCTATTCATTGGATTTCTTGTTTATTGTTTACTTGCACTATAGTGTTTATGTAAATGCCAGTGGTGTTAACGATTTGGGTTTTATATTTATTTATTTTTCGAAGGCAGAAGAATCCAAGTATGTGTTCGAAGCGAAGACTATTCAGAGAATGGAGCTTTTGGTGCTTTCTACTCTCAAATGGAAGATGAATCCTGTGATTCCGATTTCATTCTTTGACCATAGTTTAAGGAGATTTGGATTGATGACTAATCTACATTGGGAGTTTATAAGGAGGTGTGAGAGTTTTTTTTCTCTCAATCATCACTGATATGTGGATCAGTTCATTTTTATATCATCATTGCTTTATACGAAAGATGCATGATTTCGCTATAATCCTAACTACATAAAAGAGCAAGTTTTGTCTGCCACCTGTCGAGCTCTCGTCTCCTTCCCCAAAGGGCTCCATCTTTGGTAATAAGGTTAGTTCAACATCTTGTTATTGGTTCTTTCTTTACCAGTTAATCTTTGCAAATGACGATGCTCAAAATTATTTTTGAACTTGCAAGACATTTTTTATTCAGTATTTTTCAGCTCCTATGCTAAAAAATTTCTGCCAGCATGCATCGCTTGACGGAATAATATCTTAGATTGGCACAAGCACTCATGAGTTATTCCATATTGCTTTGCTTGCAATAGTTTTGAGAATGGTTAAAATCCATAGCAAGGATACCTTCCCTTTACATTAAACAGAATTTTGTTCATGCATAACAGATAAGCATAAGAAATCTCTGTTCTTTTCATCCTTTTGGTTGTTATACTTTTCCTTCAACCTGATACATTATCGCGCAGCACTAAAATTTGACTGTTTTGACATCAGAACATTGAATCAAAGGGTCTACGAGATCACCTGGCCACTTTTGCGGAGTCCCTTGGTAGGGCAAGGATTATGATCTACCCTCCTGTAAAAAGTGCTTCGAAATTAGGGGAAGCACTTTCAGGTCTTGTGGAGGTTGTGGAAAAAGAACACGAGACTTCTTGCACGGAAGTCTATTATAGAAAGATGCAAAGAAGAGCAAGAACGCCAACTTTTGGAGATGGTATGTTATTTTTCATTTTTGTATCAGATGATGGCTTCTTGTCATTATTTATAATTTTTACTGTGAAATGGATGGAATTTAGATTATAATATTTTTGTTTCAATTCATAAGGAACGAGAGGAGGAGGGAAAGAGGCTAAAACTACAGAAGATTACTGAAGAGGCAGAACAGAGAAGGCTTGCCTCTGAGTTTGAAAAAATGAAGAATCAAAGAACTCTCAGAGAAATCAAGGAGCATGAACTGGAAGATTTTAGTTGTGTGGAGATTTTTGATAATTTTGATGCATTCTTGTGCTTATGAACTGTTTACCCAATTATGGTGTAATCCTGTTTAGCACCATTGCAATGTACAAGTGCTCCTTTAAGTCTTTAGAAGCCTTGAAGAATAAAAACCTTTCCTAATTACATTAGTATATTGTTATCAAATTTTCGTGATTGGGATAACTTTTGATGTTGCTTTTTTGAGTTCGACTGGTTATTGTGATCTTTTACAATAAGCGGCATTGTAGATCTGCTGCTGCCTACTATCCCATCAACGTCACTGCGTGCTAATCTGCGTTCTTGGCCATATTGGCTATCGCTGATTTTATAGTCATATCATCAACACTTCTGCTCTCCATCGCCGTTTGTCTCTCCGACACTGCCTCCGCCTTGAGTGTCGCCGGCGCCTATACCTTTTGAGCCCTTTCTTCTCTCTCTTTTTTTGAGCTTTTAGTATATTTTTACAGATTGAAGTTATTATTCGTTCTTGTTTGAGTTCCATATGATTTTTTTTATGGGATTTCAAGAAAGTTTTTTATTTTGTTTAGGCGGAAGTGGGCATAGAAGAATTTGATGGCTGAGGCTGGATTAAAGTGAAAGTGTGCAGTGATTTTGACTGTTTTCCTTGTTATTGGCAATCGAGTTTCAGCAGCAGATCAAAGTTTTGATGTGGGCTTTTGAAGAAACAATGGAACCACAAATGAGTCTGAATCAGATTACTCGACCAAAATC